GCAAACCGCAGTTGGCTACATGGGAGTCCAACGACATAGCCATTATGCTAACTGCCGGTCCCGATTATTATGTAACTTTTTAAAAATTTTGTAACTTAATGAAAATTAAACACTTATCACATTTTTTATCTTTGAGAAAATTTTGTTACCACTTACAAATTTTCATACCTTTTCTGGGGCTATTATTTATAAAGGAAATAAGAATATGCCACTCCAAAATATGCCACTTCAGCCTGACAATTATTTTATGCTAAAGGCACTTGACAAGAAGATATAAGGAAAGTTGTCTTTCTATTAGCCTAAAAGCAGTACATGAAATTGTAAGTATTTTCTTTCCTTCCCCCCTCTATCAAGAAAGACAATGGTTGACCACCAAAGACAATTTTAGACCCTTGTCAGTCAAGAGATGACATCAGAGGAATCTGTGTAACAAAATGTACTGAATAGTTTTATCTACTGATACAATTTAAATATGATTTGTTCCTTGAAAGTTCATGTGCTAGAAACTTAGTCCTCAATGTAAACGATTAATGTAAGAACTGAAAGCATTAAAATTCTTAGAAGAAAACATAGGTTAAAAATTCTTGAGCCAGCCTGTGGTATGGTAGTTAAGGTGGCTGGATCCCACATGGCTGACTAAACAGTTCAATTCCCAGACCCAGTGACTTAAAAAACACATTGGGTGCATGTGTGTGTGCATGCCCAAAAATCCCAAGATAAGAATGAAGGAGAAGGTATTGTGGCAGGGCCATACTCCCAGGGGGAGGACGCCCGGGGGGAGGGGAGAGTGTCCTCTCTCTCTCTCTCTCTCTCTCTCTCTCTCTCTCTCTCTGTCTCTCTCTCTCTTCTCTCTCTCTCTTCTTTCTTTCTTCTCTTTCTCTGGTGAGTGCACACTCCCTATAGCAAAATTTAAATGCTTCTTAGCATTATTATTCACAATTATTTTTTAATATGACACCAAAAGCACAAGTAATAAAGGCAAAAAGTAAGTGGGATAACATCAAAATAAAAAGTTTCTGCACAGCTAAAGAAATAATCAACAAGAGTGGCTCCATAGTCTGGTGGTCAAGGCAACCAGACCCCACATACTTGATTACATGGTTCAAGTTTGAAAACTAGTAGCTTGAGAAACATGCTAGGCACATGTGTGAGCATGCCCAAAATCCCAAAAGGAAAGGGAGATGAAGAAGAAGGAATTGCAACATGACCATTCAATGGCCAGGAGGGAGGTGGGCTTTCTTCTGTCCCTCTCTCTTCTCTGTCTCTCTCTGGAAAGTGCATGCACCTGTGCTAGACATTAGCTAGTAATGAGTGGCAGCCCTAAGAAATAAGCAGAAGGACACATGTCACATCAATCACAATTTATCAGGAGTTACAACCAAACTCTCCATGAAAATGCCTTCTTCCCATCCAGTTACTGGCACCTGGAAAGTGAGGAAAATCTCATTTTCCTTCCTTGGTTCCTGAGGAAGACACATAGGGATGACTGTAAATTTCCCTCTTATCACTCCTCATAAATACAAAAAGACCCAACCAGACATTTTGTTCAATATGCTGATCCCACGGGTTCCAATAAACTAATTGGGCAGTTCATCCTAATAAGGATGCTTCTATCATCATGGCTCACACTGGGCATGCTCAGTAGAGTCTAAGGAAGAATATTTAGAAGAAAAATAGAGGGGCAAAGCATTAATGGGACAAAGAAATGAGGTATTATCTGTTGAAGATAACTTTATATTATAACTGGATTTGGGAGAAATGTACACATGTTGGAATATTCACTTTGAAAGCTAAGTAATGTGATTGAATGTATAAAAGAACTTGAAATTTTAAAAAAAAATTTTTTAAATAAAAACAGAAAAATAAATATCTCAAATTCTTCACCTTTGAGAGAGCTGCTGCAAGCATAGGAAAAAGCATGAGAATTCAAACAAAGAACAAAGATAGTACTGAACAAAGATAGTACAACAGACCTCCCACTGTTAAATATTCATTATCACCTCTGGCAATAAAAATAACACCTAGCCAGTTCCAAACACAGTTGCTACCTAGCAACCTGCCTGACCAAAAGTCTTTTAAGTGTATTTCTTTTCTAAAATCTTCCTCTCCTATTAAATTCTCTTTTCTACCTACTTTTATTGTGGTTGTGGCTTTATTTTGCACCTAGGGATAGGTCTCTAATTTTAGTGATCTGGAGCCAAAGAACCAAGGATTTTACACAACACAGCTCAACACTCCCATCCTATGACACACTGTCTAGGAAAGAAAGAAAGAAAGAAAGAAAGAAAGAAAGAAAGAAAGAAAGCAAGAAAGAAAGAAAGAAAGAGGGAGGGAGAGAGGGAGAGAGAAAGAGAGAGGGATGGAGGGAGGGAAGGAGGGAGGAGGGAAGGAAGGAAGGGAGAATGAGAGAGAGAGGGAGGGAGGGAGGGAAGGAGGGAGGGAGGGAGGAAAAAGAGAAGAGAAAAGAGAAGAGAAGAGAAGTGAAAAAGAAACATCAAGAAACGAAAAGGCAGCCTATAGAATGGGAGAAAATATTTCTAAACTACAAATATGATAAAAGTTAATAGCCAGAGGCCAGGAGGTAGTGGTCGTTAAGGCACTGGACTCCCACATGGCTGACTGTGGTTCAAGTCTCAGACCCAGTGACTTGAAATCATTCCAGGAGTGTGTGGATGAGTGCTCAAAATCCCGAGAATTGAGGAGGGGGGATTGTGACATGGGATCTTCCTTGGGGGGGTGGTTTCTCACTTTCTCTCCCTCTCAGTCTTTCTCTGTCTCTTCAGCAAGCACACATGCCGTATGGCAAAAAATCTCTCTCTCAAAAAAAAAAAAAAAGGTTAGTATCCAAAAGATACAAGAAACTCATACAATTAAATAACAAAAAAGATAATAATAATAATAAAACAAGTAACTTGATGAAAAATGGGAATAGGACCTGAATACACAATTTTCTTTTCTTTTTTTTTTTAAATAATTGGTGTTTTATTTTTTCCCCCAACGGACAGACAGTTCTTCAGTCCTTAAAGACTCAGCTCCTTACATGGGCTTTGGTGGAGGGCGAGGGGCAATAACTGCAGGTCTAAATCGGGGTGGGGGTATTCAGTCCTTGTGAGCTTCACGGGATCGGTTCCTGACTACCTTGCCATGAATGGCGCAACTCACACAGTAATGTAGCTTCACATACAGCTTGGGGAGCACATAGGGATCGAAGACACTTACTTCGGAGATGTCCCTGATGGCTGTGGCCTCTACTATGTTTTGGGTGACGAACTTCTTAATAGCCTTGTCCTTGGGCACACACCGAGCGCAGATCGTGCAGTGAATAGGCTGCACATGGCCATGGCCCTTTTCAGCATGGCCGTTTTTCCTTCTTTTCTTCATCATCTCAGAAGCGAGGCCGTGAGACCTGAATACACAATTTTCTAAAGACAAGCAAATAATCAACAGGTATATAAAAAGATATCCAACATCACTAATCATTGGGGAAATAAAAATCACAGGATATTACCTCATACTTGTTAGAAGAAAAGAAGTGTTGATTAGAATGTTGAGAAAAAGAAAACCCTTGAACACTATTGGTAAGAATGTAAATTGATACAGTCATACGGAAACATGTGGAGGTACCTCAAAATATTGAAAATAGAACTACAGTATGATCCATTAATCCCACTTCATGTATATATCCAAAGGATTAAATCACTGTCTCAAAGAGTTATCTGCACTTCCATGTTCATTGCCACATTGAACAGCACTTTTTAAGAAAGCACCATGTTAATCTGCATGTGCTTATGTTTCACAAATAACAATCCCAAAGAGACAAAGAAGCCAAATGGCTCAGCATAAGGTTGCAGCATATGTCTGTTTGGGAAGTTTTAGTACATCAGTTTCTTATTTCTGCATCCTGAGAAATGTACATTCTTGAAAAAAACAAAAAGCTTTAATTATACACATTTTAATTTCCTTCACTTGTCACCCACCTCTCATTTCTACATCCCATCCATTTCCCCACCCACTGGATTACTTTATAGCAAATCCCAAACATATAATTTCATTCATAAATACTTTGGATTATACCTCCACAAGACAAGGCTCTTTTCCTACGTAATCAAATATGTATTTTTAAATAAATACCATGGGAAAGAAGGTGGTGTAGTACTAAACATGAATCTCTGCAAGGCAATCCCACATGGGAAGGTTTCTAGTTCAAGCATAGAGACCTTTCTGAGTATAATAATCATGTTCTTGCCCATGATCCAGAGCTGGCTGAAGGTGGGAGGGTAATAATAGCAAGGAGACTTTGTTATAGGTTCTCTCTTTCTCTCTGCCCTTCAATAAATATAAAACTTAAAAAAATTAGTAACAGCAGCCAGCTGGTGACGTAGTGGCTAAGGCAGCTGGATCCCACATGGCTGACTAAGCAGCTGAGTCCCAGATCTGGCAGCCTGAGAAACATTCCAGGCACATGTGTGTGCATGTCCGAAAACTTGAAAAGAGAAATAGAGAAAGGATTGTGGTGTGACCATCCCTTATGGGGTAGAGGAGGGGTGCTTTCTCTTTCTCTCTCTCTCACTTCATTTTTTAAATTAGTAGTTTCATAATATTAACAATGTCCCTGATTATTTTATAATTTTAATTTATAATTTTATTTATAGTTTGCTCTAAATATATTAGATCCAGAACCAGCAGTTAACATAATGGCTATCTCACTGGACTCCCATGTAGTAGACTGCGATTCGAGTCCCGGACCCAGTGGCTTAAAACTCACGGTAGGTGCATGTACATGTGTGCCCAAGATCCCGAGAGGAGAATGGAGGAGAAGGGATCGTGGTGTGGCCATCCCCCCTGGGGGGTCATTTTTCGCTTTCTATCTCTCTGTCTCTCTCTGTTTGGCAAGCGTACACGCCCTATAGCAAAAACCTCTCCAAAAAATAAATAAATAAATAAATTAGATTCAATAGGTACTTTTTTTTAGAGAGAGAGATTTTTGCTACATGGTGCATGTGCTCACTGGAGAGACAGAAAGACAGAGAGACAGGAAGCAAGAAATCACTCCCCAGGACTGGAGAGACCGAGAGAGGCAGGAAGCAAGAAATCACTCCCCGGAGGGATGGCCATGCTGCAATCGCTCTCCATTCTCCTCTTGGGATCTTGAGCATGCACACATACATGCCCAGCATGAATTGTAAGCCACTGAGTTTGAGATTCAAACTGTGGTCAACTCGTGGGAATCCAGTGATGTAACCACTATTCCATCCCCAATTGATCCATCTTTTAAGCCTATAGAGTTAAATCTATAGTGTGTAGAGTTTTTTTTTAATTTTGTGTTTCATTTTATTATTATTTTTTAATTTTATCAGGGAGAAAGAAAGGGAAAATAAGAAACAAGCCACCAGGTTTGGGACTCAAACCACGGTTGGCCATGTGGAATTCCAGTGCATTAACCACCATGCCACTTTCTGGCCCCTAGACTATAGAGTATTAAAAAAATTATATCTCTTTATAGGTTTGTCCTTCTTTTCCTTTGCATTATTTAGTTGTGGAAAATACTGAGTCACTTGTCCTGTAGAATCTTCAACATTCTGGAATACCAATCACATCACCTGGGAATAGTTTAACATGTTCTTATGAACAAGAAGTTAAATCTAGAGGCTTGATCATATCCATACTCAATTTTTGAAAAAATATACATTAAAAGTGATCTTCAAAAAGTTCATGTAGGGCCAGGTGTTGGCATGGTGGTTAAGGCACTGGAACCGCCCCCCCCCCCCCCCAGGCACCACAGTTCAAGTCCCAGATGCAGGAGCTTGAAAATCCTGCCAGGAACATGTGCATGTATGCCTAAAATCCCAAGAGGAGAAATGGAGAAGAGACTGTAGCATGGCCATCACCAAAGTGGGGGTGATTTCTCGCTTTCCCTCTCCCTCTCTCTCTATTTCTGTCCAACAAGAACACACGCCCTATGACGGAAACTGGGAAGGGGATGGTTTCATGGAAAATGTGTATTATGAAAAAAAATCTATGCATAGATTTCAAAATATTTTGGTACAAAAATAAACTTGTACTTTTTTAAAGAGGTTTTCACCTTAGGGTGTGTGCACTTGCCAGAGAGAGAGACAGAGACAACAAGAGGGAAAGTAAGAAATCACTTCCAAAGGGAGATGGCCATGCCACAATCCCATCTTCTCTTTTCTCCTTCTGGGATCTTGGATATGCACACATGTGGACCTGGCATGATTTTCAAGCCACTGGGTTCTAGACTCAAACCACGGTCGGTCATGTAGGAGTCCAGCAATGTACCACTACACCATCTGCTGCTCCCATAAACCTGGACTTGAATTCTATCTTTCTAAAAACTTTCTGAAGTCCCCTCACACATGTGGTATTGGAGACATATTGTCTGATTGTCTCTGTTTTTGTGATGATGTTATGAACCAGTGAGGTTGAATGTTGTTATCCTAAACTACTCACTGTAAAATTTCTTAGTTTTGGTTCTCCCAAGTAGAACCTAGAATAAGAATCTGGGCGCAAGAGGATTTTTTAGGAGGTGATCCCAAGAAGGCAAGTGACAAAAAGTGTGAAAAGCAAGAAAAAGTAACAAAAGTGTGCATTAGCAATTCCACCAAAACCTCCTGAGAAGCATGAAGACCTCCAAGAATTGTCTTTCTGGAAAACAACACGTGAGAGCTTGTGCCCATTGGCTCTCGTCTATAGGTTGAGAGTCACTGCTGGTGATACTAACTCATCCACTCTCTGAGATGACTCAGCATGCGGGAGCCAGGAGAACTCAAAGGATAACAGAGAAGGCTCTGGAGCAGGGAGAAAAAAACTCCCTGGGCATTGAGGACAGATGCTAGCAGTGGGAGAGGAATCTATGTGCCACAGGTCTGTCCATCACAGCTGAGGATAAAATCAGAGGTGATCCAGACTGTTGTTGCACTAGCATCAGAGATACTTGCTCCAGCCCTTTCAGCCCTTATCTAACATGTCAGTAATGACACTAGTAGCCAATAAAGATCATTGCCTAGATGTGTTTGTTATACAATTAAAATAGCAGTACAAAAAGAAAAGGCTAATTCTGTTACTCCTTAATTCAGTAGCTATTTTTCTTCAAGAAAAAATTTTCTCACAACAATTTGATTATTCTGAGATAGAGTTTGTGCAGGAAAAAAAAGGTAAATTCTTAGACTCTTTCCTTTTATGTGACAGTTGAAGAATAATAATGTAATAACCAATAAATGTTTTTAAAATTTTTATCTTTATATACTCATGGTCTTTAAAGTATATTTTGTATGTTTCAATGCAATGTAGTCATTATTTTTCTTGATATTCAAATTGTCCCATCTTTGGTTAATGGGAGCCCCTCAAAATATCACCTATCTCCTGAGTTCTTTAAACATAACCATAGTTGTCTGTTGCGGTATGGAATGGTTTGTCCCAAGATTTACATTAATAAATTTGGTTTTAATAGGCAGTCGTTGGATGTCCTTAAATTCATGTGTTGAGATTTGAACTGTGTTGCAAAGCACTAAATGAAAATTTAATGTTTACACAGCATCCCAGGGTGGGGCCTTTGAGGTCTGGTATATATAAGGAGAGGAAATAAGGCAGAGAGGGAAACTTATGGATACAAAGGACACTTTGCTCAAAGTTCTACCTTCTGTCAGGACATCTTGTAATGACTTTGAACTTGCCAGCCACCAAACTTGTGAGTTTTGTAAATAAATCTCTATTTTCTTGTATTTTTTTAAGAGGGATTTTTGCTATAGTGAACGTGCACTTTTGGAGAAACAGAAACAGAGAGGGGACCAGCAGTTAGTGTAATGGCTATGTTGCTGGACTCCCATGTAATTGACCGCGGTTCGAGTCCCGGACCTGGTGGCTTAAACTCACACTGAGCACATGTGCGCGTGTACCCAAGATCCTGAGAGGAGAATGGAGGAGAAGGGATTGCGGCATGACCACCCCCCCCGGGGGGGTGATTTCTCGCTTTCTGTCTCTCTGTCTCTCTCTGTCTGTCTGGCGAGTGCACATGCCCTATAGCAAAAACTCCAAAAAAAAAAAAAAAAAAAAAAAAAAAAAAAAAAAAAAAAAAACACCAGAAACAGAGAGACTGAAAGTAAGAAATCACCTCCCAGGGGGATAGCCATGCCACAATCCCTTCTCCTCTATTCTCCTCTCAGGATCTTGGGCATGCACACATACACATCCAGAGTGAGTTTCAAGCCTCTGGGTCTGGGACTCGAACTGCGTTCAACTACATGGGAGTCCAGCCATCTGCTGGTCCCTCTATTTTCTTTATAAATCTCCCAGTCTCCGATATTTCTGTTTGCAATGCAATAACAGACTAAGATATCTTTTTTAGCCTTTTTGCTTTTTGATATAACAAGGTGTTTCAAAGTCACTTTGTACATTTTCTG